GCTGACTCAGTGGTCAGGGGAAATTTGATGATGGCATAGTGGTCAAGCTTGTTTCTCCTGGGAGCGCTCTTTCGGTGGTATTTGGGCTGCCGTCGGAGTCTCAGCGTCTTAGGCCGCCGGAACGTGGGTGACGTGCAGATCTTCTTTTTTTTTTGGCTGTGGACGCCCTTCAGTACTGCCTTCTTGGCCTTCAATGCCTTTGCTTTGGCTTCAGTTTTGGGAGGGGCAGGGGCTTCCTTCTTCGCTTTCGGCGCCATCTTTGTAACGACAGCAGTATTTTTAAAATGTAAGATAACAAAACAAAGTTAGATAAAGGTATATATTCCACTGAAGGTATATATTCCACTATGGTTGCTGAATCTGTTACCATTTAAAGACTCTTGAAATAATATTTATGTAGGGTAGCAGACTTGAACTGTTTACAAAGTTCTCTTTTTATCTTTGTAGATATCTTTTTGAAAAAGTTTCAGAATTTATGTGTTTGGAAATGTAAACTGTAAAAACAAAAGTTCTGTCAAATCTTTACACAAATTAGGAATGAGTAAAACCATGCATATGCTTTTTTTATTGTAATTTGATTGTTTCCTAGGCATTATAGTTTTTCTGTCGGTCATTAATACACATTTTACAACATTGATTATATAAACCTCAGTATTTACAGAAACCTAGAACTTTACAGTACTGAGCCTATTTTTGTTAGACCAGTTTTTTAAAAAAGAACATTTTGATAGGCGAGAAGTGACAGGCAAAGTAGCTAGCTGTTCTGGAGTAGGTGTTTAAAATTAAGTAAAAAAAAAAAATTAAGTCAACATACACTTCCTTGGAAATATCACCAGTATTAATATCAGTACTTTTCTCCTATAATAGTAAAAATGGACAAAAGTGTAAGCAGAGTTTGAATGTTTTACATTTTGGAGATGAAAGGGAAGCTTAACATTTTAACAGTACACGTTTTGATAGAGTGAAAAAGAAAGGAAGCTGAAATAGCATTGTGAAAGCCTTTTTTAATAGAAAAGATAAAAAGCCCCTAGTTTATATGGCTTTATTACTCTTTGAAAAGTTATAAATTCTTTTTTCCCCCAAGAGAATTATCATTAATTTTTATGTTTTGTTTTTCCAGATATTAATCTGGCTGCAGAGCCAAAAGTGAACCGAGGAAAAGCAGGTGTGAAACGATCTGCAGCGGAGATGTACGGGTCAGTACCAGAACACCCTTCTCCGTCCCCTCTACTCAGGTCCGGAACTTTATTATTTATAACTGCATTGTGTCCATCAATGGGCATCTTCTCTGTTTTCTAAATGTGGGGAGGGTTAAATGGATTTTATTATTGTAAATGCTTTAACTTTTTTTAAGTAATAATAAGCCACTTAACAATTTTCAGAGAATTACTGGAATTCTTCGTGATTTTTTTGCTTTTAAAGTATATAATATGGTGTTAATAGCATAGTAAGATATCCTTTGAGGGATTTTATTTTAGCTGTGTTGCAAATGGAGAGTAAGGGGAAGAAGTGATATAACAATGTGTAGTTGTCTTTTTTTAGTATTCTTAATTATTTAGTATTAAGTTGTGTTTTGAAATTGTTGACTTCTACATGAATTAGCATTTTGCCCACTGCATGTCCAGTGTGGTCTATAAATAATACTTGATAAAATATTTTTATAATTTGCAATTTCTATAAATTTCTAATTTATTAAGTGTTTAGGGATTATTACTATTCTGTGCTAGTCTTTATTTGATCTATTTGATGTGTTTGTGGGGTTTTTTTTTGAAGGTGGGTTTTTTTTCCCATTGTTACGAATTTACATCAACAATGCTGAAATTAATCTTTGGCTTTTTTTTCCAGCTCCTCTTTTGATTTGGACTATGACTTTCAACGTGATTATTATGACAGGTATGTTGAAGGAACTTTGTTTTTTCTATGTTGCAAGAATAATTAATTATTAATGAGCTACTCTTTTTATTAGTAATGAACCTTAACTATGTTTGAAGATCCCCCTTTTGCAGAAAGAACAACAAAACCAGTAAGACAAACGTGACGTTGTTGGTAATTTCAGACAGTTTATTTTTTGCTGAGAGATAGACTTTAGCTGATGTTTTAGAATTACAGGTTTTCATTCTTATTCTTGAGGCAGACCAGTTTTGTTTCATTTGTATACCAAAAGTGCATAATACTGGAAGTTGGATAATATTTATATGCTTCATTAATTTTTTGTTTTGTGTACTTGGCAGTTAGCTTGGGGAATGGTCATACTGTGCATCATTTTGTTATAAGGTCCTATTAGGAGAGGAAAAATACTCCATGAGAAAGATTTTTTTAAAATTCCTTTGAGCAAGCCAACTAATAAAATAACTGAACACTATAAATAATCAATGTAATGATTTTATGTTTTTAGGATGTTAATGTTGGCATATTAGTCTGAGCTTTGGAAATTAATGTTTTTAAAGAATGTTAAAGACTAGAAAGCTGTCTTGGATTATATGTAAAGCATTTTGAATGCCATGTTAAGATATTTTTGATTAATGGTTCATCACAATGGTTATTTCATGGCCTGTAGTGGTAAAAATTTGTGCTGCCAATTTAGAGTCATGTATCAGAAGAGGAAGAAAAGACCAAAATGGATGTCAGAAGAGACTTTGAAAATTGCACTGGAGCGCAAAGAAGCCAAAGCACAGGGAAGAATTCAAGATACTAAAGA